GGATACTAAGGGGGGGGGCTGAGACACACTTAATATTATCAGCGTTCTGATGGCATTTTAGTGAAAAGATTTTCATCAAAAACATGAATAATTTTCACAAATAAGGAATAGTCGTATTAATTTGAAATGTAAACGAAGTTTTAAGGGGTCCTCAGAAAGTCGGGACCCTTGGAAACTGCCTCCCCCCCCCGTCACAGCTCTTGTACCTTTACTGGGTGTGTGTTGCATGATTCTATAAGAGCTTTAACGCCAATTCTGGGACCTTTTCTCCAATTTTTATCTTGTTTTAATGTGGATCCTCTACTGGAATGAAAGAACTGCAGAAAAAAAAGTCCAAGTAAGCTAAGGGTGCAAAAACTATTACAGTATGTAGGGACTTTAAACCATGCTAAAACAGCCCTACGAAATGATAAAGTCAGTAGTATTGGAAACTTTTCCAGGGTTTGGTTTCAGGGTCCTGAATCCTCATTAGTCCACTCCAGAGAGCGGACTGTGGTACCATGGAAGCGCATTAAAAAGGCCTAATGTCAAAACATCAGGCATCCAAGTCAGTAGAAGAAGCTGAAGACATTTCAATGTGTTCCTGATGCCGTCTGTGGTTCTGAATGCTCGGTGCTCTAGAAGAGGTTGAAACGTCTTCAGGAATAACCAGAAGTCTAGAATGGAACTGATTCAGTTATTCTCATTTTTCCCTCCCTAACATTTCTCCCCATCATATCTGTCTCTCAGCTCCGGGCCCCACCACCGCCATCAACTACCTGGCAACGAAGTGCGTGGATACAACCAAGAACAAGCAAGAATCCAAGTGGTTCATGCCTTGGGGTCCCAACCACTGTCAAAAGATCTCCACGTTTGAAGAGGCCGTGGCCAAACGGATCGAAGCGAACAACATCGTGTTCGCCGTGCACATTCCCATGCAGGGCAAAGAGATGAGCCCCTGGTTCCAGTTCATGTTGGTCATCCTACAGTTTGACATCTTATTTAAGATGCACAACCAGATTGGTAAGAAGCAAAGCAGCTTTAGACTTTCAGAAACATGATAAACGATAATATTAAACACCTTTAGAGAAAAACTGGGAAAGATACTTTTAGTAGAAAACTTTAGAAGCGCTCCAGCCTAGGATACTGATATTTATTGGAAGAAAAATATGAGCTTTGATATGAAGCATGAAGTGTTTACGTAAAATGCAGCCTGTGGCAGTCCTGATAGGCTGCGTTCACACAGCAGCTTGAAGTGACCCATTATTTTTATTTATTTTTACTTTTTTTGCCCATATGCAACCCCCAAGGGTGTAACTTTGTGATGAAAGTTGGTGGGTGGGGGGCGCTCTAAGGGTGGGGTCTGATGGACCTACAGTTACTCCTCCCAAACGCTTTCAGTAGGTTTCAAAAATTAGCTCAGACATATATTTATCGAATGCTTTTCAGGGGTTGACGTTAAGGATTTTTACCACATGCCCAAAGGGCAAGTGACTTTCACATTTCATTTGCCCAGAAACAATTTTTACTTGCCCGGTATAATGTTTGATAAATATTAGGGATGCAGGATATAATCGGCCCCCTATCGGT